TGGTTTTGGGCCTTAGAAGTGAGTGAAAGGGATGTGAAAAATTTGGGATATGTGTTGTTCGATACACACTATAGTATAAGGCATACCTTCAAGTCTATGAGGTCATTTTCTTCACGGGTTTGGAATCGGTTACATATTAAATATAGTACCACTGTGTTTAATGTAGTTAAACTTCGTGGCATTTACTTTGAATACCAAACAACACTCAGAATTATTGATTTGCCGGCTGTATTAATACAATAGAGTAATCTCTAAATAACACAAATTCTTAATTCATGGACTACATATTTATATTTTATATTGAAGTAAACGTGTCCAACAAAAATTATTCTTATAGGAATAAATATTCTAATTGATAACTTAATTAAAATAGTGTGAAATATACTAAATTAAGGTCTCTCTCGCGTCGCCCCCAAAATAAACATGTTCTTCCCGTCGCTATTCTCTTAAACCGACGCCTCTCTCTCGGCTTCTGGCCTCTTCGGTAGTCCCCCTCCCGCCGCCCAGCCATCCCTGATGCCGCGACCAAGCTTGCCTCTGGCGTCAGTGGTCCTTGTGGTGCCAAGTCTAATTTTGCTTTCTCCGAAAATTGGGTTAGGGTTCACCATATCCGACCACTTCGGTGCTAAGGAGAGACCTAGAGTCGCGGTGCTTTGGGTCAGGGTCGGGTGCGGCCCCGACGGTCCATCTTCTCAGGTTGGATGTCTTGGGTTTATCAGGCGGTCTTCTCCCTCTCCCCGAATTCGACTTCGACGGTGTGCTTTCCGGTCGTTGTGGGGTGCAGGAGCCATCGGACTGCTTTGTTCTTTTTCGCCGGCGGATTGGTGTGTGAAGGCGGTGAGCTTTTGGTCGACGATTGGTCGGTTGCCGGTCTCGATTGAGGGTGAGTTTCCTTTTAGCCGCTCATGTCTCAGTTTTCTTTTGCGCGGTGTTCGGTGGTTCGAGGGTTGGGCTCTTGAGTGGCTCAAGTTCTTTTGGCTTTCGAGATGGTGGGGCTGAGGCTGCAGTATTGAGACAGCTCTTTTCCTCCGGTTCCCTATGTTTGGGATTCGGGGTTCTCGGTTATTCTGAGCCCGCTAGTGGTGTTAGGGGGCTTGGTGGGCTGTGTCGGGAGTTTCTTGGTATTTCTGGTATGGGGGAGAATTGGCTTTAGGTGGGACTCGTGGTTTGAGTTGCGATTCATCTAGGATTAATTGCAATGGAGGGGTCGTTTATCTCAAGCGGTGGATGTCCCCTGGATTGATTTGGTGGCTGCTAGTCTGGTTAGGAGTTGCTTTAGAGGGAGGGCTTGTGATTGTGTGTTTTTTAGTTGTTTTTTTTTTGCCTGTGTTTGTTTCAGTGTTTGTGATTGTGTTTTAGGTTTGGGTCGTTGGCCTCTGTGCGCCCGGGTGTCCAATTTAGTACTCTGTGGGGGTCTGACACTCGGGTATTGATATTCATCATATTTTCATGCATTATAAGTGATATATTGTGATATTTGGCCCTGGTTATCGTGTGATTGTGCACCAATTCGTTTTATTTATTAAACTATGATAGAGGTGTTTTTGTCGTTGTTTTTGCAGGAAATATGCCCGCAAATGCGTTGGAGATGGAATCGGGACGGAAAACGGCGAAAACGGATGTAGAAGAGGTCACACGACTCGTGTGGGTAGTGACACGGGTCGTGTGGGTTGAGAAAATAAGAAACGCAGCTACGGCTTTTTCACACGGGTCGTGTGGCCTGTCACACGGGTCGTGTGGCCTCACACGACTCGTGTGACCCGGTCGTGTGACCAGTCGTGTGAGTCTGAAAGTTCGCCGAAACGTTGAGAAAAGTCACACGACTCGTGTGGCATGTGACACGACTCGTGTGACGCGCAGACCAGACCTGCGGGGAATAGGATTCTTGTGCGATTTCTTCCCTTTTTCGACCCAGAATAGCCCTACAGTATAAAACAGACTTTAGGAACTCGTTTTTGGGATTTTTGACACTATTGGAGGCCTAGAGAAAGCACGAAACACACGAGGGATTCGAGGAAGTCAAGATTGAAGATCCGAGAACTAACGGCGACAATAGTTCTTCTTTCTTTTCTCTTTTTCTTCTTCATTGAACTCATGAATATATTTATGTTGAGTTTTGAGAATATGTTTAGTAGCTAAACTTTTAGGGATTCTAGGATTTGCGAGTACTCGGATTATTTTATGAAGTGATTTTGTTTATTCATTCCGGTTTATCATTCGTTTATCAATTTCTTATGCTTTTGTTTATTGTGTGAATATAAGGGCCCATATTTATGCATATTTGTGATTGACTTGAGACCGAGAGGAGATAGTTGATTGCTAGAATTGGGAAATTCATAACGTAAGAGACTAAACAGACCGAGAGGTTGATAGAATCTTGCGAGGGAACTAGAATCTTAGGAGCTTATGGGAGTTGATTGTTCATCTTGAGACCGAGAGGAGATAGATAACAATTAATATCTACGATTTAACTTGTTCGAGAGAAAGGTGTAAATTACTTTAGTGATTATCCCTACGAATGGTAGAATTAAATAAGGTTTGAATGAATAATTAATCTTTGTTAGAATAATCCCGAGGAAAGCATAGCCTAGAATCTATTTTCTCATTCTTGATTTATCTTAGAACAAGCCTTCATTAGTGTTAGAATTTATTTTGCAATCATTCATTAGTTTAGAATAAAATCACCATTCAAATTTGCATTAGACTAAATAATATTTAATCGTTTACATTTTGATACTTGGTTAATTTGGACAACAATCTCTGTGGAATACGACCTTGCTCGCCACTCACTACAGCTATACCGTACACTTGCGGATAGCAAAAATAATTAGCGAACAAGTTTTTGGCGCCGTTGCCGGGGATTGTGTGTTAAATTGATTAATATTAGAAGAAGACAAATAAATATTAGTTTAGACATATTAGTTTAGATATTTTTATTTTATTATTTTTATTTATTTATTTTTTTTTTCTTTTTCTCTTTTATGATATTTTCCTATTCTTCTTTCTTTCTTGCGAGATGGCGTTCAATAGCTACCAATGGCCGGTGGAGTATACGATGTTTAATAGAGTGTCGACGACTACCAATACAGACCAAATTTCGGAGTTGGCGGCTCAAATAGCCACATTGGTGCTTAACGGCTTGCAAGGGGTGAAGAACGAGAATGTCGGGGTGAATGCGGTGTCAATGTATGAACCCGTCCAGGACGTGAATTATTTGCATGACCGGAATTACGACAATTTCTGGGGATATCAAGGAGGTAACACGTACTATTCGGGCAACCAGAACTATCCTAATTTCTCGTACACCGATCCATACAATGCTCTACAACCGCCAATGGAATTTTCGGTGACCAATTGGGTCATCAATGAGCCGAAGAAGTCGGCACTCGAAGAAGCGTTCGCCTCATTCATGAGAACCACGGAAACATTTATGACTGAGACACAAAAATTCATGAATGAACCGAAGAAGGAGTCATTTGAGGAAACGTTCGCCAGGGTCATGAGTGACATGGACAAGTTGATAGCTAAAAATGAGGCTCGAGCTGCTTCGATGGAGAATCGAATGAAGTCGATTGGGCAACACTTGGGGCAAATGATCGCGATGGTCGAGAGTCAACAACAAGAGGGCCAATTTCCGAGTCATACGGAGATCACCCCAGAGGATTGCAAAGCCGAGGATGCCCAAGAGACGATAGGTGAAGTCCCGACTAAGGTGAGCGAGGTGCATGAGCAAGAAGAAAAGGAACCAATGGTCGAGATGGTTTTGGTTACTTCAGACGAGAAGATGGAGAGCCCGATTGAGGCTCATGAGGTAGTTACACTCAAGGAGGAGAGCAGTTCACTACTCCAAAGAGACCGTCCTATTAAGTGCGAAGATCCCGGTGGATTTTATATCGATTGCATTGTTGGAGAATCATATACCGGGAAAGGGCTTTGCGACTTAGGGGCGGGTGTCAACTTGATGCCACTCTCTGTTTTCGAGAAGTTGAGATTGGAGAAGCTTCAACCGACTATGATCACTCTTCAAATGGCGGATAAATCCCAAGTTCGTCCCATGGGAATTGTAGAGGATGTTTGGTTGACGGTCGATGGAATTAAGTTTCCGGCAGATTTTGTGGTGGTAGACATGAAGGATAATGGTGATACACCGTTAATTTTAGGAAGGCCATTCCTAGCCACCGGACGGGTACTTATTGACATGGAGCTTGGTGAGATCACATTTCGAGCTTATGATGAATACCGAATTTTTACACTTGCTCGGGGATGGAAGATTCAAGAGCCAAAAGACGGTAGCCGACGCCATGAGAAGATCAAGGAGGTGATTGGGATGAACGGAAATGACCCTTATTGAGAGCCCGGAAGACGTCTAGCTAAAGACGTTAATTAAGCGCTTGTTGGGAGGCAACCCATTGTTTATGGCTTTTATTTTTATTTTTTTTATTTTATTTTCGTTTTTTTTATTTACTATTATTATTATTTTTTTTTAAAAAAAAAAAATCTGGAAAAAGAAAAAAAAAAGGTGAAAAAAATTAAAAAAAAAAGGTGGTGATCGAGTGTTCGAGCGAAGCATGAAGGAGATGATCGTGCTCATGGGTGCAAGGATTGCTTACGGTGGAGCTCGCTCGACTTATGGGTTAGTTACTTGAGATTTACCACTTATTTTTCTTAAACTTCATTCTTTTCCAAAGAATAAGTTTGGGGAGAGAGGTGTCATATATCTTCAGTTTTTATCGCTTTATTGCATATCATATAATTGCTTGCATTAGTTTTTATTTTTATTTATTTATTTATTTATTTTTATTTTTTTTAGGTTATTTTTATTTTTTTAGGATGCACGTTTATTTGCTTTATTAGATTAGTAATAAATTTGCTTGAGTCGATTCCTTGTGTATTTCTTTTGCTTTGGCTAATTGATGGATAAAACTTGAATAGTGAATGGTTATTTGATGTGATTGAGGAATTGTGATGGGATTGTAAAAGTCATGTTTAGATGAAAATACTTGTGAACCTTGAATTAATGATATAATGAGCCTAGTGAGACTTGAGCCTTTATTCTTTGTCTGTGAGTGTCAATTGAATACCCGAGTTATTAGAATTTGCCTTGATTCTACGCTTGGAAAAATGCATTGATGATTTTGAGCTTTAAAAATAATTTAGGCGGTTCTTGAATTTAGCTCGTTTGGCCTTTTTCTTTGTCCTTAAAAATATTTTCCACTAGTAGCCCGTTTGAGCCTTAAACCTTTTTCTTGTCAACCGGTTTATCTTATTTATTTTGAGAGTTGACTGATATTTGGGATGTATGGGGATAACGGAGTTATTTATTGGATGATTGGGTATGAAATAAGGTATGATTGAGTTGCATTTACTGTGTTTGACCGAAAAATAAAAATGATGAAAAAAAAAAAAGAAAAAAATGATAATAAAGAGAGCTCGCAAGTCGAATTGTCGGGATTCTACTCCTCTTACTAGTTGATTTATTTTGACATGTAATGAGTAATGGGAAACCACTCTAGGACACTTGGATGACCTCCAATGTTTATACCTAGAGAATGTTGTCCATGCAGTTTGATTTTGTTTGGAAAAAAATGGAACTCTCTAGAAAAAAAAAAAAGAGAAAAAAATATGGTCAAGTACTCCCTTTGCGATTTGAATTGAGCATAAATGAGTTGTGTATGGTTTATTTTGGTTTGGGATAGAGAAACGGTTTTAATGGTGGGATATGTCGAGTAGTCTATTTACTCGAATGGTATGATTGTTTATTTGAGCCACTTAACCCATATATATCTTACCCTTGACCGAATAGCCTACATTACAACCTGGAAAGACCTTTTGATTTAAAGCTCATGATTGTTGGTTGTGTTTGAAGTAGAGTGTTAGATGATTGGCAAACATATAGTTAACTGGGTGTTCAATGTGACTTGAGCGTGTCCTTCTCTCTTTTATATATTGATGACATGTGAGTGAGGCACTTATATATTCCTATTTGAGAGTTCGTTGATTCAAGGTGGATACAAGTTAATAGTCAAAGCATGATAATTATGATCTTTCAAATTTTTCTCGGTTGCATTGAAGGACTTGAAGCTGTTCTAGTTTGATATCACTCATTATGCTTGAGTCTGATTTTCTTATTCTTGTTCGGGGACGAACAAGGGTTTCAGTTTGGGGGAGTTGATATTCATCATATTTTCATGCATTATAAGTGATATATTGTGATATTTGGCCCTGGTTATCGTGTGATTGTGCACCAATTCGTTTTATTTATTAAACTATGATAGAGGTGTTTTTGTCGTTGTTTTTGCAGGAAATATGCCCGCAAATGCGTTGGAGATGGAATCGGGACGAAAAACGGCGAAAACGGATGCAGAAGAGGTCACACGACTCGTGTGGGTAGTGACACGGGTCGTGTGGGTTGAGAAAATAAGAAACGCAGCTACGGCTTTTTCACACGGGTCGTGTGGCCTGTCACACGGGTCGTGTGGCCTCACACGACTCGTGTGACCCGGTCGTGTGACCAGTCGTGTGAGTCTGAAAGTTCGCCGAAACGTTGAGAAAAGTCACACGACTCGTGTGGCATGTGACACGACTCGTGTGACGCGCAGACCAGACCTGCGGGGAATAGGATTCTTGTGCGATTTCTTCCCTTTTTCGACCCAGAATAGCCCTACAGTATAAAACAGACTTTAGGAACTCGTTTTTGGGATTTTTGACACCATTGGAGGCCTAAAGAAAGCACGAAACACACGAGGGATTCGAGGAAGTCAAGATTGAAGATCCGAGAACTAACGGCGACAATAGTTCTTCTTTCTTTTCTCTTTTTCTTCTTCATTGAACTCATGAATATATTTATGTTGAGTTTTGAGAATATGTTTAGTAGCTAAACTTTTAGGGATTCTAGGATTTGCGAGTACTCGGATTATTTTATGAAGTGATTTTGTTTATTCATTCCGGTTTATCATTCGTTTATCAATTTCTTATGCTTTTGTTTATTGTGTGAATATAAGGGCCCGTATTTATGCATATTTGTGATTGACTTGAGACCGAGAGGAGATAGTTGATTGCTAGAATTGGGAAATTCATAACGTAAGAGACTAAACAGACCGAGAGGTTGATAGAATCTTGCGAGGGAACTAGAATCTTAGGAGCTTATGGGAGTTGATTGTTCATCTTGAGACTGAGAGGAGATAGATAACAATTAATATCTACGATTTAACTTGTTCGAGAGAAAGGTGTAAATTACTTTAGCGATTATCCCTACAAATGGTAGAATTAAATAAGGTTTGAATGAATAATTAATCTTTGCTAGAATAATCCCGAGGAAAGCATAGCCTAGAATCTATTTTCTCATTCTTGATTTATCTTAGAACAAGCCTTCATTAATGTTAGAATTTATTTTGCAATCATTCATTAGTTTAGAATAAAATCACCATTCAAATTTGCATTAGACTAAATAATATTTAATCGTTTACATTTTGATACTTGGTTAATTTGGACAACAATCTCTGTGGAATACGACCTTGCTCGCCACTCACTACAGCTATATCGTACACTTGCGGATAGCAAAAATAATTAGCGAACAGGTATTACCCTGTGGGGGTCTTGTGTTGTTGGCCTCTGTGCGCCCGGGTGTCCTCCCACTTTTTAGCTACTGGCTGTTTGTATTCAACTGTTGGCTGTTTGTAATCAGCTGGTGGCTGCTCTCTGCACATTTGTGCGTTTTATATAAGATATAAGATTTCTGTCGTTCCGTAAATAAAATA